AGGATCGACCAGCCTGGCTGGCGCCAACGGAACGGAACAGCACGGAACGCCTGTGCGGGCATGCGCCCGGGCCCCTCAAGGGCGAGGCCGGCGAGGCCATGGCCTCGCATGAGAAGCTGCGCGCGTCGGGGGTCTACTCAGGACAATGCGTACTTCAGGAGCTGATTTCCCGACAGTCCCTACTCATCCGTTTTCTTATGATGTCGCCTGGCCGGCGCAACCTCCCTTCGCAGAAGGAAGGGACACGGGGTGGATCGAGGCACGAAGCATGAGAATCTTAGCTCTTGGGCGCTCTCCGCCCCCTGTGGGCCTTCAGGAAGCTCCTCGTCGACACAGCTGGGTCCACTCACGAACTTCTGGCCAGACGCAACCCCACCTGGATGCCAAAGGAGGCCTGGGACAGGCCCCGTGAAGGCCCCCAGAAACTCATAATATGACCACGAAAAACTTCAAAGCAATCCCCTGCAAGGCACCCCTGTGAACCCCACGCGCTACACAGGACGAGCCGAACCCCCAAGACTGCCGAGCGATCGCGCGCGTTCCGCGAATTCGGTCTCTCACTCCTGCTGCCGCCCCAAGGGGTCGGCGGGGCGGCGTAAAAAGAAACTCCCAGGAGGCCTCCAGGATGCCCCCAAGAGGCTCCCAAGAGACCCCGCTACGACGTGACTGCACGTGCTCCGGACGTGCACCCCGCGAAGCGAGAGGAATCAACCCGTGCAGCTGGTCTTCCCGGCTCCCCGCGGTGCCATGCGGGCCCATGTCTCGAGGCACACGCCCAGCGGCGGGGGGCCGAAACCAGCAGCAAAGATTCGAGCGACCCCCCTCCTCCCTTCCAAAAATCTTCCGTTTCCCCCCGACCCGAGACAAGCATGGGGAGGGGGTCCCTCCTCCGGACCCCTCCCCCCGCAGTTCCCCGCTTCCCCCTGGCCCGGGAAGCGAGCGGAAGGATGCTTCCTCCTTGAGATGGGAGTCGTTCTGCCCCAGGATCTGGAGCTTCGAATGACCCTCTCCCTCCGCAGCTCCCCGCTTCCCCCCGACCCGAGAAGCAAAGGGGGGGATCCCTCCTCCTTCAGATGGGAGTCGCTCTGCCCAAGGATCTGGAGCAGCTCGTCCACGATCGACTGCCAGTTGTCGGGCCGGCACAGCCTGAGCCGCACCGATGCGCCACATGCAACCCGCAGCATGCCGACACGGACCTCATCACGCAGACTTGAAAACGCACCTCCGACGCGGTGCGTTCGCCAAAACGTAGGCCTCCTCCTCCTCCTCCTCCTCCTCCTACTACTCCTCCTCTCCTCCTCCTCCTCCTCCTCCTCCTCCTCCCTCCTCCTCCTCCTCCTCCTCCTCCTCCTCCTCCTCCTCCTCCTCCTCCCCCTCCATCCTTCTCCTCCTCCTCCTCCTCCTCCTCCTCCTTCTCCTCCTCCTCTTTCTCCTCCTCGGACCTTCGCCTCTGGCACTTTGAGCCAACGCGCAGTGTGCTAACACGGGCGTCCTGAGCGCGGCACGCGCTGCGCCTCAGCAGGGGCGTGCCAGGGCAGCTAAGGGCACGACGCGTACAGCAGGTTCAGCGCCTGGCGGCGGATGGAGACGTCCGACCTGCAGCCGACGGGGGCGCGGGGGGCAGGCCCCCACGAGTCCTGTGTGGTGGTCGGCGCGCCAGCGCGGAGCTCACAGCGGCCTCCTGCAGTGCAGTCATGCGGGCAGCCTCCTGGCCCTCATAGGGGATGAGGAGGAGGGAGGGAGGGAGGGAGGGAGGGAGGGGGGGAGGGGGAAGGGAGGAGGAGGAGGAGGGAGGAGGAGGAGGAGGAGGAGGAGGAGGAGGAGGAGGGAGGAGGAGGGGATGAGGATGAGGAGAGGAGGAGGATGAGGAGGAGGAGGAGGCGGAGGAGGAGGCGGAGGAGGAGGAGCGGGAGGAGAGAGGAGGAGGAGGAGGAGGAGGAGGAGGAGGAGGAGGAGGAGGAGGAGAGGAGGAGGAGGAGGAGGGGGGAGGGAGGGGAGGAAGACGAGGACAGGAGGGAGGGTGAGGAGGAGGAGGAGGAGCAGTTGGGAGGAGGGCGGAGTGATGGGAGGGGGGCGGGAACAGGAGGAGAAGGGAAGAAGGGGGAAGGAGGAACCGAACCTCCATGTGACTGCATCTGAAGCATCTCGGCTAGAATAAATAAAGTCCGCGTAAGCCTCAACTTTCCGATGTCCGCGCGCTGGAGCCCCATCCCTTGCGCGCGTAGCGGACCAAGGGCGACGCTGGAGACGCCGCCAAGGGGTCCAGCGCGGATCCAAGAAACCCGCGAGGGTCCTCGGAAATCCGATGCTTATGATCGTGTGATTCTAGATGCAGAAGGCATCCATACACCACCACCGCGCCGGGCCACGGCCATCCTGGCCCTGGCCTGGCACGGCGGTGGTGCGTAGACGCCTTCGTCGGACTTCGATGTCGATCTCCGCACACACGCGCAAACCACCCGCTCGCCCCCCTCGGCTCACACGCGGCCGAAGCCCCGCCTGCTGAGAATCGCGGGCCCGCCCACCCTCCATGGGGGAAGCCAAGAAGTACAGTCGGGGCGTTGACCTAAGGAACCCTAAATGAGGAACGAGGTCCCTTTTCCCCATCAGTGAAAGTTCGATGTCCCGTCGAAAACCTAAGAAAAACCCAAGGCAAGCTGCGAAACAATCAAGGAACACGGAGCTTGGATGCTCGTTCTGGCGACCTTCCTGGAGCCACTCGCTCCACTCGTGCGTCGAAGCTGCGTCGATCATCAGTCGATTTGGGTCGACCCTGAGTCGAACCTGAGTAGAACCTGAGTCGAACCTGAGTCGAACTTGAGTCGAACTTGAGTCGAACTTGAGTCGAGCGGGGGTCGAACAGATCCGCTAGGTGGGCTCCAGGAAGGTCCCCGGAACGAGCATCGAGCGGAGCCCCTCCCCAACGAGAAGGGTTCCTTCTTCAGGGCCCCGACTGTACGGATGCCGCTGCCGTCGGCCCCTTAACATAAACATGCGCGGTCAGGGTGCCACGGCCTTGGATTGGAGGCCCACGCGGGCGTTGCGTTCGAACGAGGCTGGCGAACGAGAGTTAGAACGACGCGAAGATCGGGACAACATCGGATCGGGATAACTCGAAATCTCTGAGAATCGGCGGGTTTGGAGGATGTATTGGGCGCCGCGGCCGCTCCAGAGCGTTCCGGAACGCTCTGAGAGCGCTCCGGAACGCTCTGAGAGCGCTCCGGAACGCTCTGGAGCGATTTATCCCGATCCTAGCCCTGTTTTAAGAGTCCCCAAGGATGGGCCGACGGGGCAAGGCTGCAAGGGTACTGTTGGGGAGGTTGCCCATCCTCACCATACAGTCGGGGCGTTGACCTAAGGAACCCTAAATCAGGAACGAGGCCCCTTTTTTCCATAAGTTAACCTTCGATTTCCTGTCGAAAACCTAAGGAAGCTCTAAGGCAAGCTGCGAAACAATTGAGGAACGCCGAGCCCCTCTCCAACGAAAAGGGTTCCTTCTTCAGGGCCTCGACTGTACTGTTGGGAAGGTTGCCCATCCTTACCATACGGGCGGACTGTACTCCCCGGACTTCTCCCGTGGTGCGCCCTGACCAGAAGTGTCGGGGCGAATCCAGCGGTGGCGACGGTGGCCGCCTGGGAGGCACCCCCAAAAAGGGGAAAGGGAGGGAAGAGTGCTCGGTATGGGCACCTGTTCCGCACTGTCCGCCCAGCTCTGGAGAGCCTCACCTCTGTAGGGGTAAAGTTCGCAGATGCCTGTGCTTGGCTCCACCAGAGGCTTCCTTGACAATCCGCAACAAGAAATATGTGTAACCCATTGGCGAGATGAGTTGTCGCGCGCGCGTTCTCAACGCTGGCACGCGCGCGATCCCAAGACGTCCCCATGGCTACAAAATGGTTACAGGAGGGCCTGAAGCCACAGACGAGAACGTCCAGTCGACCCTGGGATGATGTCACCCCAACACGATCCCGTCTCAGGCCGACTCGAAGATGATCAAACACATGAGCCACGAGTGAGGCCGAGATGGCCCGATGGCGACAAGATGGATCCACGCGCGCCCAGGGTGGCCCCAGAATGAACACGCGACGGCTGCGAGATTCAAGCATTACCGAAATACGACCCCAAGACGACCCCAAACGACCCTGACATGGCAAGACTGCTGCAATTTCGGAACCCCATCTTTCTTCGAATCGATCCCAACATGGCGGGATCCGTGAACGACTCGGGATATGTGTTTAGCTGATTTCGAACGGATGTGATTTTAGTCTGGCTGAACTGAAAATATAATATAGAGGGGGGAAACATTAGGCGGGAACCCGCCCGGCCCACGACAGAAGACTACATTGCTAGGCTTCTACGGGGGTAGGGGGCATTGGACAGATCGTCACTTACTTCCGCTGCCTTCTGCAAACCTTCCGACAACCTTCCGCCGTCTTCTTCCTTCGGCTTCCGCTAGCGAGCGTCGTGATGATAATGCCAGGAACTTCCACTGGGCCGACGTATTCTCCCCAATCCGCTGCTGCAGCGCGTCGTTCGCTCTCTCCCTCTCTTTGAGCAGGGACCGACCGTCCTGGAATTCCTCTAGTCCTACCACGAACATCTGTTTTAGAATCCCAACATGTTCTAACAACAAAAACACTGCTCTTAGAACGTAAACCGACGTGTTGAAACAAAGCAGTCCCAGCCAGAAATGTTCTACGAGCTTCTCGTGCAGACCACAGAAGGTGGTTCCTAGAACACTCTCTGGCAGGCCTATAGGCTAACATGCGAATCAGGACGATTCGCCACTGCTTGATTCCTCTCTGGCCCCTGCCCGGGGTGCCGCCGTGTGACTTGGGCGCCCGAATTATCCGGGGTAACTCGGGTCCGGGGTAACTCGGGTTTGGATTCCCGGAAAAGGAACCCGAGTTAGCCCTGACCCGAGTTATCCCTGATGATTCGGGGCTCTGGGCGCCCGAATTATCCGGGGTAACTCGGGTCCGGGGTAACTCGGGTCTGGATTCCCGAAAAACGAACCCGAGTTATCCCTGACCCGAGTTATCCCTGATGATTCGGGGCTCTGAGTGACTGCACGCTGTGGTACACGCGGCCCCAGGGGCCCGAGGAGAGCTCTGCCACGCGGAGCCTCTCCCCGCGCGCGGCAGCGCGAGAGGCGCTCCGCGTGGCCAAGGACTGGCCATCGCCGCGCCGGCGGGGGGGGGGGGTCCTCCCACCGGAGCTAGGTCGGGCCTGTCCCCCTACCTGACTACCTACCAGACCACCCCAACCCAACCCGAAGACCCCAATTTCGGGTTGGGGGGGGTACGGATTCCATATGTGTTTTTTCAGTGTTCCCCGACGCCCCCCCCACTGGAAATGGAGGGCAAATTGAGGCCTTCGGGTTGGGTTGGGGTGGTTTGGTGGGTGGTGACTACCTGCCGACATTGGACGGAAAAGGAAAAAAAATACTCCAAACATGCTCAAGAACGGTCCACAGATACCCAGAGCAAAGAGTACCCAGACTATTTCTGTACTACTTTTGAATATTCCTTCTGTAGAGGGACAGGCCCGACTGAACACTGGTGCGGGGGAACGATACGCCTGACCTGTGACAGAAAACCATCCTCCAAGAAAATGGAGACCCTCCGCCGGCCAGGGTGCCCTCCCCCAGCAGGCACAAGAATGTCCAGCAGGCCCGAGGAACAGTAGGGCACCCTCCCCGAAGCGGCGTCGATCCTATGCCTCGGTCCGGTCGTACGGGGGGACTTGGCTCGGGCGAGAAGCGTTGCCTGGGCATTGGCGCGGCATCCTCGCCAGGCTGGCGCTGGGTTCTCGAGGGCGAGACAGTCCGTGGCGGAGGGGGGCGCCAAGGCTCCGAGGGGTGATGACTGGGCGATGGAAGGTCTCGGCGGCGAGCGAGGGGGGGGAAGCGAGAAGGAGAAGGCCTTCTCAGAAGGCAGCGGGACTCCTCAGAAGCCCTCGCGCCTTCTGAAAAGTTCCTGCTCGTCTTTTCGGGAAGGCCCAGAAGACTTCGCAGAAGGCCGAAGCCCCTGAGAAGGCCTTGCCCTTCTCACTTCCCCCCCTCGCTCGCCTCCGAAGGTGGATGCCTCCCCCTCTGGATCAGCCCCCACTGCCGTGGCCCACCCGAGGCCCATCAACACCAAGTGTTCGCCGCGCCGATCTGGTCCAGGCCCGCTGTGGGCCTACAAGCTTCGTCAATAATAAGTTGAGACGCGGTCCAAAATCGAAACGCTCGATAGTTCGGGCACTCGTAGAGAAACCGCGTTCTTCAATGCTGTGAGGGTACTGCCGGATTTCGGACACCCCTGCGTCTGGGCCGGATACCTCATGCCAACATTCGAGTAGCGCCGACCATGCAAACACCTAGAACTCAAACCGTCAATGTATGTTTGACGAGTCTTGTAGGATCGGTGAAAACGCCATTCTGGCTTGGCCAGGAGTGCCCTTGCAACGAGGCGACAGCGTGACGGATCGCAGATGAACAAGTTGCCCCACATGTCTTGCAACACATCGGTCCCACTGCCTAGGATGCACCAACTAGCATGCAACACACATATTGTATCCCATGTGTTGCGCCACGTGGCTTGCAACTGCACGT